TTTCAAAGGGGATTGGATATAATATCTCGTATGTACTATTTAGCAGTTGACATAAATTCTTTGCCCAGCTGAGTGAACAAGCGGCTGATTAACATGACGGTTACATTGAATTGGAAGGCCAGTCTCGCCGGCTGCGATATAGTTGGAAGAGCCATCATTTAATGACCACTATCATTTCAATTTATAAATTAAGAGTAGATAGGTCCCAGAGGTTTCTTGTTACAAGTTTCCTGTCAGTGATGGGGGTGCGGCGACTTGATACCCACCGTTTGTCACCGATCGGCCTGCCAGCACTCTTCACCTTGAACGATTTAAACAACCCATCATGCGGATTGCATCATGTTCGCCATTACTGAAACCAATTGAAGGCATTTGGAGTGCCATTAAGGACTACGTGAGATAGGCCATGAGGCGCCGATATACGGAAATACTCCCAAGGTCTTTACTTTGTGTAAGAGAGATCCAGACAATCACATTTAATGCATGACTAAACAGTAATGCAAAGCATCCCAACTTTTTTCACTGGTTTACCTAATATTGTTGTTTTTAAGCCACGTCCAACCCTGCGAACAGAGCAGTCAAGAAATGGCACTGCACCACTGCAAGATTATAGTTCCATGGTAACAGTTATGGTCTCATTGAGCGATCCCAGGTGATCCACAAACCAATATTTCTTGTCATTCTTTGTTTCCACAAGTGTGACGTCTCGTTACCACTAATAACTTTTCGGTTAGCTACTAGTTCGTCAGTTTCATGCTCAAATTCGTCGATATTGGCGAGCTCATGGTAAAATCTATTTTCTGAGTATTTGGTTCCGGTTGAAACGAATTTGCCATGACACAATATTATTCCCCAGATCATTTCATGCATCTTAAGCTTCGACCGATCACCAAGGTTACTCTTCTCAGTCAAACAGCGTTCCCCATCCTTTGCGCGTCGCTTTTGACACGTTGGTGAGGAGCCTGCTAACGTCGAATCTGATCATCGTTTTATCTGACCCGTTTCAAGTGAGCTCACAAAATTTCTTTACGATCGTATTCGTTCGCCCTGTCAACGGTTGCAATAGACTAGCAATCGTATACAGACCAGCACCTGTGAACTGTCAGTATGCCCTTAACGGATTCCCAGTTGATGCGGTGCCCTCCCGCGTGGATTACTGCCTCACATCATGCAATGCAGTGTATAACCGACTGTCACCTAATCATTCAGGCTAATGATGCCTTACATTTAAGAGTACTTAACAGGTAAGTTCGCCAATACCACCATATTCTAAACCTTCATGTGCTGCTTGCATTGTCCGTTGATAGCACGCGAAGAAACGCCAGGAATATAAAGCATTTCATCTTGATGTGCAAGTGTTTGTGGGTGTGTTGTCTTATCGAATGCATTGGCAACAATCAAGCAGTTATATAGAATGCTTTCTAAGTCAAGCAGTAGAACAAAAGGGTAATAAGAGCAACAGGCAAGTGCAAATTCGTACTGTCTCTCAAGCAAGATAAGAGCTAGTATTCTGCGCGCTGTAGTGCCAGGTACAAGACTTGCGAGTCCACACTATCACACGTGAACATTTACCTAGATACCGCTACGTACGTAGTTGCCATACCCTTTGAATTTGAATGGAATAGGCACAAATGGCAAAATTTAAAGTGACTAGCGCCTAGGTTCTTCTCACCTTGTTGCTTAGTTAGCAGGAAGCTAGACCACAGTCCAATAATGCAGATAGCTGCATGGAAGTTCCTATTTCTATAGTTAACTAATTCGTGTTGTCAGTTATACAAGCGTCTTCGATGAGCGTAGTTTTCCAGGAGAATGAGAAGGTGCAACACGTAAGGTGGTCGCACGGTGGAGACCTACAAGGGCGCCCAGTAAATCAAACACTGGAATTCAACATGCATTTCAACAGTCCGCACTGATCACACAAATGTTAAAGCAAATGCGTATTTTTGTTATAATTTTACTGACATACTAGGCAAACACATCGGCGGGGCCTTTAAATTAGCAGGTACCATTTCACTGTAACACCGTCTTAACCTTAGCTTCCTCGGATTCAGCAGTCCTCACCGTATATTAGTGACATTTTCTTCGGTAATACTATTTGAAGGTCACCAGAACGTACCATGAACTACTGCGCGCGCTGTACGTACATTTATCAAAGGCGGTTGTAACTTCAAGAACCATCGTCCCGATTGACTGACTGAAATCCGATACGCTTTCAACAGAGGGAAAATACCAATATTTTACTTATTCCACGGAAATTATTACGTATATGTACGGGACCGTATTCGGGTGACACCTCTGCACCCGATGCCAATTTTTCTATCCATACATTTGCAAATAGCAAATAGTATTGCCATTTTAATCCATCCGTGGTGGTTATTGTAAAATGTTGCACATACACCCATTCAGGTACATAATGCTTATCTTGACTTTACTTCACTTGACTTGAAACAAGAGAAATATCAAATATATGAAAATCTATGGTTTACTTCGAAAAGCTGCTTTACCATTCTGTCATCGCTAAGAGTTTAATACAACGGAGTGTATGTCTGTGTTATAAGGAACCGTTATCCAGCCTTTTTCGCAACATCACTGGCCAGCAGCAAACTGGATGTTTTGCGCAGAGTACCTTGAGGCTGAAGCATTGAGTCGCCATTGCCTGTGACAGCACCATAGAGTCCTGCCTAAAAGCCAGCCAGAGGAACCTCGTGGAGCATCGTCTGATTTAGTGAGTTAACTGGGTGCGCGTGATATAGCTACTTAGACGTACCCAAGGAGTAGTCACATTTACCTGCTTGATTATGTCATTGTAAGTCAGTGTGACATGCTTGAAGTGCGCATGATACGTGTGCTGCGTGGATCTGAGTGTGTTACTGATCACAAGTCGATGCGTACCAAATTGTACGCAGCTTGTCGTAAATCTACATATTTCTCACCGGTTGTGAGTCGGCGCAAATCAAACGTTCATTCCTTGGGTATCGCTGGAATGAGGATAGAACTGGAGAATGTAATGTCTCTCCGGCTTAGCGATGTCAAATTCATCGCTATACTGAGCGACCTGTGGCACCACAACAGTGCGACCATTGGCGCATTGGTGTCTGAGAAGAATGCAACGTATTCTGCTCGCGTGGATGACCTTACCAATGAAGAGAAGGAGAATCGCTTTCGAAAACTTCGGCGGTCAAAGATTTGAGAGTTTTATCGCAGCAAGAATGCATAGTGGACGAAGAAGACAGATCAGATGGAATGCTACGTCCAATGTCCCCCACACAGCGAATTCTTTGACTCCTTGGACCTACCTTGTAGCCGCTTAGGACGTTTCTCGATGATAGTTCAGGCGCTGTGTACACACAGACTGCAGGGCTAATGCAGATCTTGCGAGATTGACAGGCCTAGGTTACACGGGCTTCAACAGCAAGAGATGAAAATGGACTTTTCCGACACACAGACACTGGATGAAACGCAGCGGATGCTTGCTCAGCTACTAAAAGGCAAGTGTGTCGGTGCCGACGGGATCCTGTCTGAAGTGGGGAAGCACGGTGGATCCGCGTTGATGCATGCACTGCGCTACTTGGGGTAACAGGTTTGGATTGAAGAAAAGGTGCAGACTGACTAGAATGATGCCTCCGTGCTACCACTGTACGAAGTCAAAGGAAGCAAGTAATGTGCCATGAATTATCCTGGTATCTACACGCTGAGCTGTGTAAATAAATTGATCGCTCTAATCCTGCTCAACCGCCTCGTCAATGAGGTCTTTGAACCACAGGGGGTGAAAAGGCAACGCGGATTCCATTACGACCGCAGCTCCATCGATATGGCGTTTGCTGTTCGTCGGTTTGCAGGAGAAGTGCCGAGAACGACCCTAGCCCTTGTACTCGCTTTTCGGTGATTTCACCAAAGCATTTGATACGGTGAACCGCGACATATTGTGGCTGGTGTTGAGTAGGTATTTTGTCCTCGTAATTATGTAAGTTTAATTGAACATTGCACCTTGGTATGTGGGCGAGGGGGGCAGCTAAGTGGACAGACTTCGGAAGATTTTGCAGTTGTCTCTGGTGTGAAGCAACACGGTGTCTTAGCTCCTGCACTGTCTAATATTCATCCTCATGTCATGATATTTTGTGCTTTGGATGCTGCTTGTGATTACGGCGTTTGTCAGAGCGCCGTATTGATGATGAGTTGCTGAACATCCGTCGTTTCGTGACGTGAACCCTAATATATGAGACAACTCTCCGTAACTTGCTGTTTGCCGACTGCTGTGAGTTGTTTGTGCACAGCGCGAATGAGTTGCAGTACACGACTAGTTCTCTCACTTCAGCAGCGGTGAAATTTGGATTTATCATCAACATAAATATGACTGTCTTTTTCAGCCTTCTCTAAATGTGGAAACTGTTGACCTCATTGGCAACGTCATTTCGGAAACCACTTTTATATTTTACCACCTAGGCAACGTATATTTTACTGACCTGTAGATGAGAAGCGAGCTGAGTATCAGCGTGTCGAAGGCGGTTGCTGCATCCGAAAATCTGGATAAAAATATGGGAAACAATCACCAGCTTACTGTTGGGAGGAAGCTGATAGTGTATGTTAGGGTTAGAGCTATTCTGGCCCCAGTAAAATCCAGTTTAGAAAGCCGAAGCTAGATGGCACCCATGAACTGTGTTTGAACTTGTTACATTGCAACTAAAAGCGAACCAATAGCATGTCTCGAGTCGAGTGTGCAGCAGAATACAGGTGGGTATGCACAGTCTTTGCACGTCTTCACCAAACTCCACGGATCTTTTTTGTTTTGTTAAACTGAGCATTGTTCTTGTCGCCTGCCTTACACATGCGACACTTGTGAAAGACTTGCCTCCTACAAAATCACACACGTATCGAAACTTCTAATTAAAATAATGAATCAAAAAGTTCCCCTTTATACAAACGTTCAGGATCCCATTTCTAATAGTAAACAATTATTCTTTTTTACTTTACAAAATTTGTACCTTTACAATGATTCAGTATGCACATAGACAAGAGAAGTTAATTTAGTGTGTGGAAGCAAATATGTGTTGATTTGCGAAGGGTAAAAATTGGTAAAAGCCGACACTTCTGATGAATGATCGGCTGCCAACATGGTAGATGTGTGTGCATATGGCTGCATGCCACTCGCCGAGCTGGTCGGAATTATTTCGTTGCTCCTGTCTTTTCAAGTTTTCGGATTTAAATTTCTCCGCACATCGGCCTGGGTACACTCATTCAATCGGGCTCGATCAGGTCTACCCATTGCGCAAACTTTCTTGACAGTGCTATAAACGGATCAACGTCAAAAGCTGGTTTTCAATTTTGGCAGTGTTTCAGCATGGTCGTTTGCCTACAAGTGCACCAATTTTCTGCCTTCATCAAGGTTTTTGGACTTATCGGAAAGCTTATTGCTAGGTCTACTTCAAGAGACCTAAACCAACCTTGTTGGTAGCTGCACAAGGCAACTAGAAGCAATTATACCTTCATACACCGTCTTGGTTGACCAAGAGCTCTCACGCCGCATTGTGAATTGCGCTCTATCGAACGCACGCAAATCTCTTTGTTTGGCCGGATTTGTGCGTGTGCGCCTGTTGGAACTTGCGGCATAACGTGACGCGGCGCGCCACGGAATTGACCTCAGGGCTACCTGTGCACGGAGCGGTCGATCATTGAAGGACAATCTACACTCGGCGGAATTTGGACAACCGAGCGCTTTTACAATCGGTTGGTTTGTATCGATCATCGTAACCGTGGCCTGTTTGGACCTGAGTGAATTCTCGTGCACTTTAGATAGGTCGTATAAGCCCTAAAATCCTAGTCTGTTTCCTCGGCGGTTTGTCGATAACTGTTTGATTCCTCTTGATCACTGTAACAAAAACGGTGAAATTTGTCCCTTATTTTCTTATCCTTGTCCACATAAAATAGTTTTCCCACGCCCTAGAACCGAGTGACCAATCAGTAAAAATGCTCGTTACCTCAGTTAAAACAAGAAACTCAAAGAAGAGACAGGAAGCCATTGAAATGCTGGCAAAACATCCTGCTTATAACCAGTCCGTCAGCACGGAAAAAATTAAAGGCTCATCATCTAAGATGACAATAAAGCCTAAATTGCGCATAAGAGTAAAAAAGCAATCAAATGATAGTTCTCATAAGGTTTCTCTGCAAGAGCACAGCGCAATTACTGCAGAATCGCCCACTAAAGCGATTGAAACGATTGCTGCGCTAGAACTGCAGCTGAAGGATTTGAAGGAAAGGTTTGAATCTCTGTACCAAGTGCTAGAGCAATTTAGCTCGATTAAGTATCTTTTTAATACTCCAGATACACCAAAAATCGAACACCTTCGATCCGTTGGGAATCTTATACAACATGTTGCATTTGAGGTGCATGATCGCATTAAACGCTCCAAAAATGTTATAGCATTTAATTTACCAGAAAAGCTATCTCTTGAGGCTATCTCCTCTGCAGTGGCAAACGACTGTCATATTGAAAGGCTGCAGTTTTCTTGCGTGAGGCTGCGAAAGAAATCTCTGAAGCATGTCTGTCCAGTACTTCTTAAATTTGCAAACGACACACTTTCTGAAAAATTCATTTGTAGTAAGAGCGCACTATCCCTTAGGAAAGATTACGTATCCATGGTCCTGAAACCAGATTTAACAGTACTACAAAGGGAGTGCAAAAAAGCCTATTTCCGACAAACAGTTTGTGACCAAAATGTTCCGCCACCCACGGAAACTCAGGAACTTCCCCACCTGGTTGACCTAGATGACACTCTTGTCATAAATGAATCAGCTCTAAGGTTGAAATCAAATAGCAACTGTCATAAAAATATCGCTTCTGACTCCACTCAGTGTCACATTAGTCCAGCATTACCGTGCAACTCGTCCCCGAACATACAAGAAAGTTCCATTGCGCAAACGACTATTTCGACTCACTCTTTGTCGTTCACCAACCAGGTGCATAGACGCTCTGGTACGAAACTAAAAACCTCCTCTCCTAAACGCTGTGAACCTTTAAAACTGCGGAACAGTCTTGTTGCAAAGAACACTGGTAGCGAAACCTCACGTGGAATCTATACGGGTGCTCCTAAGCACAATAAAAACACAGCTATTTTAAACGTTCTACCAAACGCTGTCACCACTGAAAACCAGCAGACAATCGGCATATCTCCAACCATGCAGCATTTGAATATGCGACCTGTGCGCTCCATAACTTGTGAGCCACTTGCTAGGGAACTTCAAGTAGCTGAGAGAAATTGGCCCAACCAAAATCCTCTCAAACTACCTCAACATGTAAATAATCTTAACTGGCACGTAGGTTATGTGCAACAGCCAGAAAACTGTAATCTCCCAGTGGGTCGCAATTTTCCCAGTATTTCACCGTTCCAACCTTTTTTGGGGGGGGGGGTCCAGTGGCGTTTTACCCGCCACACTCCCAAATGACACTATTTCCGCAAATTATATGTCCTCCGTATCCACCACCCCCACTCCACTCTCTCCAAATACCATCTCGTTGGGGTCCTGTACCTGGATTCCTGCAGACAACCCAACGGATAACAAGACACTGCACTTACTTTTAATTAATTCCCGTTCACTGTTAAATAAAATGCACCTCCTGCGTAATCTTCTTCACCTTTCTTCTCCTGATATAGTACTAATTGCAGCAATGTGGTGTTCAGCAGAGATGTCTGACACATTGTTCAGGATACTGGGTTATAACATCTTTCGTAATGACCGCCTTTATGGTAGAGGTGGTGGCTGTATAATCTACGTCAAAGACAAATACTTGGTTCTGCCTCTCAATGAACCACTCCTACGGAGACTTCTTGATTCGGTGTGGATTACAATTTCTATTAATCCAACAAATCTCTTAGTAGGTTGTATTTACAGATCCCCATCGTCTACACTCACCGTGATCGATGACTTGTTGGACACATTTTCTTTTATTGCTGACCTCTCATACATTAACAAAATAATCGCTGGGGATTTTAATATGCCCGAAATCCCATGGTCCCTAGCCAATAAACCACAAAGACACAATCCTTTTATGTCTACTCTTGATCGACTGGGATGGGTACAGCACGTCAAAGAACCTACACGGCTTGGTAACACACTTGATCTAATCTTTACGATGGGATGTTGGAATGTGTCCACATACATCAGTGACAAGTTGACGGGTAGTGATCATAACATTGTTGGTTGTTCTTTCCAAATTCTTTCTAAACCGACAGAATCAGTGATCAATTACCGCCCATTCTCTTCTGTGAATTGGTCAGTTTTCTCGGATCTTATAAGGTCTTCATATTGGGATCCATTCTTCTTAGCACAGAATGTACAAATTGCTTGTAATGAATTCTACCACCGCATTCAGCTTTGTGTTGAAGCTGTGGCTCCAGAACGTACCAAGAAGTTGAAAAGGACTGCTGCTCCTGCAGGCATCTCAAAAAAGGCAGCCACTAAACTTTGTAAAATAAAGAAAAAATTTAGGAAAACAAACGACTTTACTCTGCTGATGCTCCACACCAGATTGCTTACAGCGTTATACAAAGACCACCACAAAATGCTATGCTCTGAGGAAGTAATGGCACTGAAGGGCGCCAACGTGGTAGGCTGCATTTCAAAACTTTTGGACCGTAGGCAAAATAGAAAATCAAGTTGTATAAACACCATTGTAAACTCTGATGGAACTGCCATAACCGACCGTGCAATCATATCTTCGATCTTCAGTGACTACTTCATGTCTACTTATAGCACTAATGCGAAAGAAGATCCTCAGCTCAAGCTGATACACAGAGGCAGAAATACACTTCAAACTGTTGAGTTTACACTTAGTGACATATGTCGCCAACTCAGATTAGTTCGGCCATCATGCTCACCAGACCCCGACAACATCCCTCCAATACTGGTAAAGCACGGAGGTCCAGACATCCCCCTGTCTTTGCTTAATGTATTTACACTTTCCATGCTAAATGGAGAGTATCCTATACACTGGAAGCAATCAACTATAATACCAAGACACAAAAGCGGATCTATGCAAGATGTAAAAAATTACCGCCCAATCCACCACACATCATGGAGAGGATAGTTAAAGAACGCATAATAGAATATTTGAGTTCTATGAGCCTTCTAAGTAAACATCAACACGGCTTTTTGAAAGGTAGGTCGTGCACTACCTGCCAGTTAGATTACCTTAATTATGTGACTAGAACGAGAGACGCCGGAAGTGCTATCATCGTAATATTTCTTGACATCCAAAAGGCTTTTGACCGTGTCCCACACAATTTATTGTTGCTGAAGCTTATGTCCTATGGTATCACTAATTCGCTTCTAGATTGGTTGTCTTCCTACCTCGAGGGTAGAAAGCAAGTAGTCGAAATCGGTAACTATACATCTGAAGCCACTACAATTTCTAGTGGAGTGATTCAAGGTAGCGTGCTAGGCCCGCTTTTATTCTTAATCTATTTCAACGATCTCCTCGACGAAATCTCGTATGGAAAGCCGTACCTTTTCGCAGATGATGTTAAAATTGTGTATTGTTCCGCCCCTGGACAATGTAGTCCTAACTTAGCCTATATTCAGTCTGACTTGTCCGCATTGGAGCTCTGGATTAACTCCTGGAAGCTGCACTTTGCCACGGACAAGAGTAATCTATTGTACCACGGCTGTGACCCTCCTCTGAACATCCTTACATTAAACGCATCCCTATTCCTGTGTGTGGCGCAGTCCGAAACCTTGGTCTAAGATATTCTGCCTCATTTAACTTTTTAGAGCATGTTATATTCTTGCAGGCTTCTGCCAGGAAAGTGGTCGCCTGTATAAGTCGAACTCTTATTTTGAGGGATTCCAGGCTTCAAGCCTTTAAAATATGTGTTAGGCCGAAACTTGAGTACTGTACGATAGTGCATAGTAATCTGAGAAAAGTGGATATTATAGCACTAAAAAACATTCAACGATCATTCACAAAAAGGTTTCTGAACATGCCTAATACTATGACATACCGTGAGCGTTGCGAGGCGCTAAATCTGCAGCCGCTATGGCTACGCAGACTCAAACTTAATCTGTGCCTTCTTTACCGCCTACTATTCGGATTAACCTTCACTGCTCAGCCACAACTCGAGTTTCAGACTCGTATGCGCTATGAAATAAGAAACAGCGAGCGCACAGTGAAAATACCAAAGTCTCGCACAAAGCTCCGCTCAAAATTTTTCTCCGTAAAATATGCGTTAATATGGAACAAACTTCCATCGAGTGTTAGAAACTGCACTACCTATGCACAATTCAGACGCATGATTAATATTCACCTGACTGTTGCAAACATCTGGTCAACACTAAGCCAAACGGTGACTCTAGATGATTTGTATGAGAAAGGTCCTGGATACGTATGAAACTCACCATATCCTCTATTCGTTTCAATAATATAAGATTACCTACATATAATTGCATTCTTGAGTATATATTTGAGAACCATCTTACTCCTATTAATCCGTCTAACCAATTCTGTTTTCTCCTTTGACGCACTGGTTCGTAGATGCACTACGCCTTTCAAGCTGATGTCTCTGTACCATCGTCGTCACTCGCCAAGATTTTCCATCAAATTATGACTGGCCTATCGGCAAGCATTTGTATTATCATTATGTTTTATAATTCCTCATATTTCATCTTCTTTGTTTCACCGTTGGTCATGACTGGGCTGATCTCTTGTGGCGACAAATTACAGCTTCCAGATTAAAAAAGTATACCCATGCAAATCATATTACTACTGACTCGAGGCTTAAAACAAAAAAGTGCCATAATTGATTGATCCGCATGACAGAAAGGGCTGAGGCTTCATCGCCTATAATGTATGCATAAAGCAGCCCCAAAAAAAGACATTTGACACCTAGTTCTGATGGCCTATTTATTATCTTGCCACACAGGCTCAGAGCCAATTGGAGCATGGAAGTGCGGGTGAAACCCATCGTGGAAATACCCTGCATGGAAGCAAGTCCCCTGGGTACAGTTCCATGGATGACCGTATTACTTTACTTGAACTTTCCGTGGAATCTACATTTATTATTGTTCCCAGTTTCTTTCCCTCTCTATTTTTTCCACTGCTAATCATTTCAAAAACCCATATGGGAACCATTGATCAAAAGACGAATAATTAACTATATTATGCGGTCACGTTGTACATGTTGATAAGACCACCCAATTGGTCTGTGCCTCGCACTGCTGAGGAATAAACGTTTATTATTTATTTTCATTTATTTATTTACATATGCAGCGCTCCCACAGCCAAATTAGAAATGACGCCCGGAAACGTCAATTTATTTATATACAATATTTCAGAACTACTCCCTTAAAACAAAGTATAGTTATCTCGCTAAAACGAAGAAAGATTAGTGCAATAAGCTCTTGTCTACAGCCTAAAATCCAGTTAAATGTGTTCTCATACTTCGAATTTTATAAAATGACCTTCCTTAGGTCCATTTAAAATACCGACTAATGGAACACTCCGTTTCGACCATCATATACACAAGTTTTGCACTTTTGACAGTTAACTTGTTCGGCTTTGTGTGCAGTTCGCCGTTGCACACTACTTGACAAGTATCGCGTCTTCTGACAATAAAACGGCGCACAATCAGGTGTCTGTGGGAACCCATCTTACTTGGTCCACCTGTTACAGTTATAACAGTAGTAAGTCTCTGGTGTTGTTCGTTCTTCTACACCGCTGCGAAAAGTAGATATACTGGAAGGTTGTCCGATGCCCGACGAGGTTTCAGCAACCGCGCATATATCGTATGCTGCGCATGGTTTGGAGCAACCGAGCTGTAGACACTGAGGTGCTCCGCCGCAGTGGCAGATATGCAGTGGACTGCATATTTCTGCTGCGGAACCTGAGGTGGATCGGGTATGTTCGCCGTATAGATTCGCGCCGGCTACCAAACAGCTGTTTTAAGGGCAACATAGTGCACCTGCACGTGGGAAACCGGTTACGTTACCAGGAGGTGATCAGGACATGAACTACTATTGCTTTCAGATGTTGAAAAGCGATGGCGTTGGATCAGTGCCGATGAAAAGAACACATGGAACACATAGCTGCCCAGGTGCATGGGAAATCACTGCTGCCTTCGGAAAAGGAAATCCCGGTCTTGAAGTGACAGTCTCCGATGGATCCTAGGCCATTGACTTTGAGTTCATTGTTCTGTAGCACCTACTGCAGCGAAAAGTCGAGTCGAGCCGGCTAAGTAAACTACCAGCGTTGCCATGCGTGTCCAACCTCAAAGAGGCGATCAGTCAGTTGAATCGGTAACCCTTATAAGTGCAGCGCTTGGTAAGTACACCGCTTTCGGTTCAATACAATTCGCTGACCCAAGCCAATACTACGGCTGATGTGTTACTTGTGTTACGTCGTCTCTGCACTTGATCTGTAAGTGTAAATGTGTGTTGAGGTTCTTGCGTCATGGCTGTTGATTGATATTCCCGCTGTGGCTGTGTTTGGTGTGAATGTTGACAAGGCGCCTGCCTGTCTATTACTCTCAACCTAGATTACTGGATCCAGGAAATTGTGAATCCTTGCTGGTGTGACGGTCTGCACCGTCTTGATGACCGTAATAGGCTCAGAGTGGTACTATGCATCCAGTGTGGATCGGGCTACGGCTCAGCCACCTCATTGTGTAGGTCTGGCACACATGATTCTCCAAGTGGACTGACTGGAATCTTGTAAATGTGCACATTTAAGTAGAGTGGGTTGGCTCCGTTGATGAAACTTAGCTTCCATCCACATGTCTCCTGGTCTTATGCATTTGATTTTATACTGGATATGGGGTGTGTGGATGGAGCTGTGGTTGATGCAGTGCAATCCACCATTGTCCCTCTCTAGGTGCAGACGTCCTAGTGTAGTGAGAACGACGCGGGAGTGGAGGCAGAGCGTGTATTGTGACAACAATGTGCAACTGACAACTCCCAACCCCGTACAGATATCGACCCTGTTTCCTTCGCAAGATGCAACGCGGATGAGGATATGTGTGATCGAGCTTGAGCTTTGGAACAATGCCTCCACGTTTTCATCCCGTTGCTCCCCATTCGCTATATCTGATTCAGGCCAACCAGGAGTCGTTCGAAAGTATGCGATTTACCTCCCTGTGACTGCATCACTCGGCCGGCGTTAAGTCCTGTGAACTTTGCTAGCGGCGTATTTGTCTGATGCACTGGGTTCTCGACAAATACCTCACCCCTTGTTCTGGGCCCAGGCTCGTTAACAGATGCCGTTCGTGATCCGCTGTCGGCTCGATCTGCAAGGTTCGCACTGTCTTATCGAGTCTCATTTCCTATGTACGTTAGCAATTCCTTACTATCCCGTATTTGTCTTTTCCGTTTACGAGTATTCGCTAGCTTCCGCTGCCCTACACTATGGCTGTCCCCAAGGAGGCCACAGCGACAAGCAAAGCCGGAACCGATTACCGCCAAACAAATTATATA